TTGTAGGAATAATATGGTTCCCTCTGGTTTTCGTGACTAGCTAGGCATTGAGAAAAATGGAAGCTGATTTTTAAAAAAGCTTGGCAGGAAAGCCGGGCATGGTGGCATACACCTTTGATCCTAGCACTCGGGAGGCAGAAGCAGGTGGATCTCTGTGAGTTCAAGGCCAGCCTGGTCTACTTAGTGAGTTTCAGGGCAGCGGGGGGTAAAGGGGGACCCTAGCTCAAAAAAACCAAAAAAAAAAAAAAAAAAAGAAAGCTTGACTGGAGAGATGACTCAGCAGTTAAGAGCCAAGCTCTTGCAGAGGACCTGAGTTGGGTTCCCAGCACCGACTTGGTCACTGACAACCATCTGTAACTCCAGGTCCAGCGGATCTGAAGCCCTCTTCTGACCTCTATGGGTATTGCATGATACAGGTACACTAAAATACATGCAGGCAATACACTCATACACATAAAATAAAAATTAATAAATAAAAGCCAGCCTGAGTTACATTTAAAGAGCCCATATCTCAAAACAAAAAGCCAGTAATAGTACCAAAGTATTTTGGGTGAAATGAACTGATTTCTGTAGTTTACTTTGGCGTAAACAAACCATCTGTTTCATAATTTAAAGACTGCTACTAGAGATCTATTTTGTTTTTGAATAAGAAACCACAGGGTGACCTCCACTTAGATTCCTTAATTATGTCATTGGTGTCATCATAACATTGCTGAAGTTGGAGAAATGTCTATCAGTGATGGACTGATTCTTTTTTTCATAAATACATAAAATAATGGTATCTCTGATAATTGGTGGCATTTTAGATAAAATAGGGTAAATTTAACCAGTGGCACTTTATTATAAAGACTATATTTTCATTGTGATTTCAAATGTACAGAAAAGAACTCAGAAGAAAATTAAATTTGCTCCTTATTCTAACACCAGTGCTAATATCAGGGTGTATTTTTCTAGTCTTTCTAAAACTGAATTTTTAGGAAGTTAATCTTTTAAAAAAATTCACAATATTGTTGAAGCTAGGTAGTATAGTTTTGTCAGTAAATAATACTCAAAATTATAGTAGACATAGAATTGTGAATTTATATTCTAAAATACAGTTGTATATTTTTAATTATTTTGGGTCAGGGGCAAGGACGGATCACAAGGGAGAAAGGAAGAACATAGTTTAGTATTAAAGCTATGCATTCAGTTTAGCTTATAAAAGTTGATTATACAGGGAGTCGAAGGCCTCCCAAGATTGTTTACATTGTTTTCTTAAAGGCTACTTAAATTTTAAGAAACTGATTACACAGTAGGGAAACAGACTGAATTCATAGTGTTAAATGATCTCAAAGCCTATAATTAACTTGTTTATAAGGTTATGCAAAAGTTCAATTTGTAACAGGCATTCCCAGAAAATTTATTCCCAACATTATCATCATATGTTTTATTGATTAATGGGAATAATAAAAGCAACATGCTTGTATGTGTATTTGCATAATTGTTTTCTTAGATTTTTACATTTAAATTAGAGATGATATGATTATAGTATTACCAAAATTAACATGACAGATGCTCGTTTACACTGTTCAATCTGAACCTTAAATTCCTTAATGAGAAACAAAATCTTCTTAGCTGTTGGAATTGTTTTCTTTTTTTTTTGGTCTTTTTGAGACACGGTCTCCCTGTAGCCCTAGCTGGCCTGGATTCGCCATGGAGACCAGGCTGGCCTCGAACTCACAGAGATCCGCCTGCCTCTGCCTCTGCCTGGCCCTGTTTTCTTTTTTTGGCATGTGCATGCACACGTGTGGGTATGACTGTATGTGTGGGGTATGACTGTATGTGTGTGGTGTGCTTGCCTGTTTGGGCATGTATAGAGGCTAGAAGCTGATGTTGAGATGTGTTTCTCAATTACTTCTGTACATTTTTTTGTTGAGACATGGTCTTCCACTGAATCTGGAGCTTGCTGTTTTGGCTAGACTTGCTGAGTAGTTGGCACTGGGATCTATCTGCCTGTCTTGTCTTCAGGTGCTGGAGTTACTGGCACATGCTGGCATGGCAATGCTGTTGCCTTGATTTTTATGTGGGTGTTGGGGATCCGAACTCAGGGCCTCATGTTTTCATAGCAAGTACTTCATCCACTGAGCCAGCTCCCCAATTCCATGTTTTCTAAGGCTCATTCTCTTCTAAAATGTATTCTGGTTTGTGTCTTTGGAGGTGATTTGATCATGCTCATGGATGACTTCTGTTTTGGGTATTTTTCAGGTTAGTATTGCTGAAGATGAGACGATCTGCAGCACCGAGTCAGGTGCAAGGGACTTCCTTTAAAAAACCAAAATTCATACCTCCAGGAAGAAGCAGTTCAAGTCTGAGTGAAGAGGTTATGGAGATGAGTCCAGATATAAAATTATTTGAGGTAAAAAAAAGAAGGCAATTGTGATATGAGAGGCATGTATTTTTTTTTAAATGCCTAAAAAGGGCTGGAGAGTTGACTTAACAGTTAAAATCACTGTCTGCTCTTGCAGAGGACCTGGGTTTGATTCCCAGCACCACATGGTGGCTGGCAACACCTGTAGCTCCAGTTACAGGGGATCTGATGGTCACTTCTGGTTTCATGGACATTTGCACTTACATGCAGGGAGAACACTCGTACATATAAAATTAAAAAAAAATTAAAAAATGCTTTGGTCAAAACTGGGTATGATGGCTGGGCGTGGTGGCCCACACATTTAATCCCAACACGCAGGAGGCAGAGGCAGGTGATCTCTATGAGTTCGAGGCCAGCTTGGTTTTCATAGTGAATCCAAGTCAGCAGTGGCTACAGGGAGACCCTGTCTCAAAAAGACCAAAGAAAAGAAAAAAAACTGGGTATGGTGGCTCATGTGTAATCTCAGTACTTGGGAGGCTGAGGCAGGAGGATTGCCATAAGTTCAAGGCTACCTTGGGTTACATAGTGAGTTCTAGGCTAGTCTGGTCTACAGAGTGATACCCTCTCAAAAACAAAGAAAAGCAAAAATGACAACACAAAATAAAACCTTGCTGATTATCAGAACTTTCAGTATCTTTTGACAAGTCTTCCACAATTCTTAGAAATGATTTCTCTTTTTTAACAGTAAATAAAAATCTTTTGAAAGGAGATGGGTAGAGACTCAAAAAGAATTCTAAAAGTAAAAAACAAATTCTAATCATTGCTCTTTCAAGTTATTGTGTCAGTGAGTGAAAACTTTAAAGTGGTTTAAAGAGAAAAGTACTTAAACAATGATTTGTATCATTATTCCAGATTTGTACTGTGTTCTTCATCTTACTTGCATTGCCGGGCCTTGCACCTGGAGGCAAGTGATTTCAACTGAGCTATATCCTCAGCCTCCAGGCATTTACTTATTATTTTTTTCTGTAGAGTAAATACTGGGTCAGGAGTCATAATATATCCTGTCATCTCATCATGTGGGACATTGAAGCAGGAAGATTGAGAGGGTGAGGCTTTGAGACTTACTACTTTTTATCTAAAAAGGAAGTACTGGAAGTAGCCTTAATATGTGCTTTTTAAGGAAAAGGATTATTTTTGTTTTAGTTCTAAGAAGGAAAGTCTTCTATACATAGAAGATATAAAAGCATATAGAAGGTACATAAAGGCTTTTCGCTGCTCTATCACTTTCTGATCTATTCTCTTATTGTGGTTAAACATACAATAAAATTTGCTGTCTTTTAAAATGTTTATCCTATTTAAAAAATTTTATTGAATTTTTGCAATTTTCATACAATATAATTTGATGGTATTTAGATCCTCTCCCCTATTTGCACCCCCCCCCAAGCCCATGTCCTATTCAGTGTACTCTACTATATATACAATACGGCCTGTAGATTCTGATTTGTGTCTCCACATGTCCCTCAGCATGGGGTGGGTCCATCCACTGGAACCTGGTTAACCTACCAGGAGTCCTGTCCTTGAAAGAGACTGTCTTTCCGCCTCCTAGCAGTCATCAGTTGCCAGAAGTTCCTTATTTTAGGGTTGGGGTTTCTTACCCAGTTCCCCATATCTATGCTGGGATTTTGTCTGATTTGAACTTACATGGGACTTGTGAATGCTCTCACCACTGTTGTGTGTTCATATGAGTTAACCGATCAGCTGTCTGGAAAACTGTTTCCTTATGGTCATCCACCTCTGGCTTTTACAATCTTTCTGCTTCCTTTTCCACAATGATCCTTGAGCCTTGGGAAGCAGTAGTTTGATATAAGTGTCCTATTCAGGGAGGAGCACTCTGCAGCCTCTTGTTCTTTGCACATTGGGTTTCTGTGTTAATCACCATCTGCTGTATAAGGAAACCTCACTGGTGAGATTTGAAAGATGCATTCATCTTATATGTATAGGTTGCATTGAGGATGTGTCGCTTAGGACTGAGTGTCTTACAGACCCTTATTCTCTGTGCTTGACTAGTTGTGGAACTCTATATTAGCCTTCATCTGTTGCAAAAAGAAGCTTTTTTGATGAGTGGTGAGAGGAACACTTGTCTGTAAATATGAGGATGCATATTTCAAATACAGTAAGAAATTATGTTGGTCTAAGGATGTGGCAAAAGTAAGTTTTTCTCTAGGATCTGTGACCTCTCTAGCCATGTGTATTTGACTGTTTACAGTACCACGCATGAGTTACCTGAGTGGGCCTTAATTCCAATTAGATAGCTGTTGATTACCCCCAAGATAAAAGTGCCACTACTGCAGCAGTAGTGATAGTTTGCTGGACCAGTCGTTTTATTAGGCTTTACTGCTACCTAAGACCATTGATTGGTTTTCTCCCTTGGCAGCTTGCATAGTATCCTTTGATACCACGAGAGCTAGTCTTCAGGGAGGATGTTTATTCTATTTTTATTTTTATTGTTTGAGACTAAAATTTCTGTAGCCCAGGCTGGCCTGGAACTTATATTGCTTAAGCTGCCCCCAAGTGTCTTTGAGCTTTGAGTCTCTGCCTCCTGAATACCAGGATTATAAGTGTGAGGTATTAGGCTTGATTTTTGCCATTTTCCCGTTTAAAAAAATTTTTTTTTATTCATATGTATTTGCCATGTGAGTGCAGATCCCTATGGGGAACGGAAGCAGGTGTTGGATCTCCTAGAGCTAAAGTTGTAGGCAGTTGTGAGCTGCCTGACATGGGTGCAGGGAAGCAAACTTGGGCCCTCTGAAAGAGCAGTATGAGCTCTTAACCACTTAGCCATCCCTCCAGCCTCCAATTTACCATTCTAAAATGTACAATTAAGTGGCATTGATCATTTTCACACTGTTGTGCAGCCATTATCACTGTCACCAAAGCTTTTTCATCAGCCCAAGCAGGAACTTTGTACTTATTCATTTGTAACCCGTAGCCTAAACTCTGTACTCATTGAACAGTATGGTCTTCATACTTTGACTTAGCCTTTGGCTAACCACTATTTCACTTTCTATGAATTTCACTACTGTAGATACTGTAACAAAGTGGAATGATATATTTGCCATTCAGGGTCTGACTTATTTCACTTATAGTATTTTCAAGGTTCATCCATGTTTGTGCCATATATCAGAACTTTATTCTTTTTTAAAAATTATTACATCAGCAAGGCATGGTGGCACTGCCTTTAATAGCATGCTGGAGGCAGTGGCAGGTGGATCTCTGAGTTTGATGCCACCCTGGTCTATAGAGTGAGTTCCAGGCTAGTCAAGGCTATATAGTGAGAGACTCTCTCAAACTCTTCCCTTCACCAAAAAAAAAAAAAAAAAAAAAAAAAATTGTTACATTATTTATTTTGTGTCTGTGTGTGGAGACAGGGTCTCATGATAGCCCTGGCTGGCCTGGAACTTAACTATATTCCACCAGGCTGGCCTCACATTCACAGAGAACTGCCTGCCTCTGCCTCCCAGTGCTGGGATTAAAGGTGTGTACCACCATACCTGGTATCCAACCCAAAGTGTCTGTCATGTTGGGCAAACATACCACTGGACTACATTCTTGTCTTAGAACTTAAAATCTTTTCCCTGGTTTTTAATGGATTTTTTAAAAAATTATTTTGGCCGGCCGTGGTGGCACATGCCTTTATTCCTGCTCTTGGGAGGCAGAGGCAGGTGGATCTCTGAGTTCGAGGGCAGCCTGGTCAACATAGCGAGTTCCAGGACAGCTGGGGCTACAGGGAGACCCTGTCTCAAAAAAAAAAAAAAATTATGTGTATGAGTGTCTTGTCTGCATGTAGGTAGGTGCACCCATTTCGTGTAATGCCCATGGAGGTCAGAAGAGGGCACTGGATCCTCTGAAACTGGAATTATGGATGCTTGCTAGCTGGCATGTGGGTGCTGGGAATTGAATCTAGGTGTTCTGCAAGAGCAGCCAGTGCTTTTAACCAATGAGCCATCTCCAGCCCCGAATTTTTTAAATGTATAAAGCCCACTTACTTTTGAATTTTTAATTCTGCATACAGGTTTTTGGTTTTTTTTTCCCTCCTTTTTTTTTTTTTTTTGGTCTTTTGGAGACAGGGTCTCCCTGTAGCCTCAGCTGTCTTGGAACTCACTATGTAGACCAGGCTGGCCTTGAACTCAGTGATCAGCCTGCCTCTGCCTCCCAAGTGCTTGGATTAAAGGTGTGTGTTCCCTGCTTTTTTTTTTTTTTTTCATTTTATTTTAGTCGGTTCCCTGCTTTTTTTTAGCCCTACATTTCTGTAATTGCCATAATCATCCACCTTTCAAATTAAGAATTCTGGACACTTGAGGGAGAACACATAGGCTTTCATTTTTACTACTCTTTTCACCGACTCCTATACTGGGGATTGACTGCAGGGTCTCCCATATGTCAGGTGAGCACTCCACCAATGAAGCCATGTCCTCAGCAACATTAGGTTGTCGGGCTGGGGTTTAATCATGGAGCTTCATGCATTCTAGGCAAGAGTTCTACAATGGAGCTATGTCTTGACCCCTTTTCTGTTTTTTAAATAAAAGCTTTATTTGAGTATAATTTACCTATCTTATAATACATTTATTACAGTTCAATAGAGTTGTGCAGTTGTTACCACAGTCAGTTGTAAACATTTTCATACTCAAAAAGAAACTTCTTGCACATTAGCTATTACTCCCTCTTTTTGTCCAAACTCTTCCAGATTTGACATAGTTAATATATTTTGTCTCCACATTTCATATAAACAGCTTCAAACAACATGTTTAACTATTTTTCCTTAGTGTAATGTTTTTTAAGGTTTACTCATGTTACAGCATCTTTGAATAGTTAATTAATTTTCTTATTGTCAAAATACCAGTTTTCTCTCCCTCTGGTAATATATCACCACAGATTTATTGACTTAAAGCAACACAAGTGTATTGTCTAATTTTGATAGCCAAGAGTTGGAAACAACCAAGAATCCATCAACAAATAGATGAATGGATGAACAAAGTTTTTGTATACAC